TATTTCTGGTGTTAACATCCTAGAAGTTGACCCCCAAGTCCGGGTCTCACTATACGCCCCTTTGTCGGCAGAGTGTTCACCGCGCTTCGCCACAGGTGTGTCCGTGGAGTCGGCCGCTGTAGCCCAAAACACCAACCCCCAGTACTTGCACTCTCCAGTGTCGGCACTGTGGCCATGGAGTAGGCAGTCGCGGCTCCAATCACCAAACCCCCAGTACTTGCACTCTCCAGTGTTGCCGCCGTGGAGTCGGCCGTCGCAACTCCAAGTCCCACGCCTCCAGTATTTGTACTTGCCAGTGTCGGCTTCGTGGTCATCGAAGACGCCAGTCCCCCAGTCCATACACTCGCTTGTATCGGCAATATGGCTGTGGAGTCGGCTATGGCGGCAGCAGACGCCAAACGCTCGATACACGCGCTCACCGGTGTCGGAAACGTGACCTTGGAGTTGTCCGTAGCCTCTGTAGACGCCGAATCCCCCGTACGCACACTCACCGGTGCTGATAGTGTGGCCTCGGCATTAGCCGTCGCTTGTGTAGACACTAATCCCCCTGCACTCGCATTAGCCGGTGCTGATATTGTGTCCACGTAATCGGCCGTCGCTTGTGTAGACACTATGGCCTCAGCATTTACCCTCGCTGGTTCCGGCGGCGTGACGGGGAACGCCGACTCCGACGCACTTGCACTTGTTGCTGCCATTGGTTCTGGGGCGTGTCCGTATAATACCTCTTTGATTTTTTTACAAATCAAATTTGGAAACTCCCCTATAATCTGCAGGTTGTGTTTTGTACACATAGAAGCATATAAACTTGCATATGCGAAAAAACTTGCTCGTTTCAACCTTTCCGGTGGTTATTTTTGCAAGTTCCGCTGAAGATTGGTGGTATTCTGTATGATACAGAATATAGGGTTGAAAGGGTTAACGACCCTTTCTCGAGCACAAGATCATATTTTAATCAAGTCAAGGGAGCTACTAAACTGGCAAGGGCATCAATCTGAGGAATCACAATGAAAGCACATTTAAAACGCTTACAGCTGCAGCAATTAACTCTTTATACAATCTTTAAAATCAGGCTGTTCCATCTCTTTTCAGCACTACCTGGAGCGTGTAAATCGGATATTTCGCTGCAGTGATATTGACAGTTTAGTGAGGGCACCAGCTCTTGGCCACTAAACTGACATTTTCCCTTATTCATCATCTTTCGCATCTGTTGAGAAGCAAAAAAAAAACACTGAAAATCTAGAGAAACAGACAGTTACGGAAGCAAGAAAAACACTGAAAATCTAGAGAAACATCGAAAGATGATGAATAGTTGGAATCACTTGAATGCGAAAATAGCACAGCAACCAATTACGTATGACATTTCGACTTGATTTCAGTTTAATTTAGTGTCAGATATGGACTTCACGACGTTCGACAATCATGTGGTTAGCAATGCCGAGCTTGCCTTTCTTTTCGGCGGTACAGTATGACAACAACATTTTAGAAAAGGCGTAGTGCTAGACATAATAGCACTTCCCTTCTAACATTTTCTGAGAACATAAGTAGGAATAAATGAAGCAAAAACATGTACTAAGGTGAAAATTGTAAACAGTAGGGAGGACGGCAATTAAAAGTTACAATATTGAAGCGGTTGCAATTGCCGCATACGGGTCGTTGTTTGTAAACAACTATTTTACCGTTTTGAAATGCTCTTCTCCGCCGTGATGTTTAGCAAATACAATGTGTAATCTTCTAAATTGCAATACGCAGAATCACGTTTGGCAGCGTCCTCAAACGAATCCGCTAGTGGACTGTCGAGATGTTTGGATGTGATCTCGTTTCTCATCCACCACTGGTAGAGTTGTGTTTCCAAGCCTTCAGCCAGCTTTCCCAAATCAGGAATGCTCTTGATCGATTGAAAGAGTATTCCAAATGTCTACTCCATCGCGAACTTCTTCTCCTTCGGCAGGAAATGAGAGTTTGTGAGTCTGAGAAGAAATCACCTCCCTGTACAACTTGACATATTTGAGCCACTGAACAAACAGTGGGCTGCTGTCGAGACTCTCGTCTCCAAGTCTCAAATGTTGAAACTTGCTGGTGGGTGTTTCGGGTATTTAGCCACGCCTTAGGCCCGTTCTCAACCGAGGCGTCAGAGGGACGCATGCGTTGCATGCGTACCCTAAACATCGCAATTCAAAATACTTGACTATCATTGGCAGAATAATAGC